GTTTGGCATGTAGAAGGTTCAATCCCTGGAATCTCCAGTTTAAAAGGTCAGGTAGTAGGGGACACGGAAGACCTCTCTGCCTGAGACTCCAGACAGCAGCTGCCAGCCCAAGCAGACAATACTCACCTTGAAGGACCAAGGGTCTGAGTCAGCAGAAGGCAGCTTCCTTTCTTCATGCCTGAAATCCTTTTGAATGGAGATGCCAAACTCTGAACCCGGGACCTTCTTCATGAAAAAGAGAAGACCCTCTCAAACCAAAAGAGAAGGCTCTCCCAAACCAAGACCCCACTGTAAATTCTGATTTCGATAATCCCAGGGCGGGGCTGGGTAGTTGAGGAAGAAGGAGGAGGAGGAGGAGGAGGAAGAGGAGATTGGATTTATACCCCACCCTTCACTCAGAGTCTCAGAGCGGCTCACATACTCCTTTCCCTCCCTCTCCCCACAACAGACACCCTGTGAGGTAGGTGGGGGCTGAGAGAGCTCTTTCCAGAACTGTCCTTGACAGAACAGCTCTGAGAGAACTTGTGACTGACCCAAGGTCGCACCTGCAGCTGCATGTGGAGGAGTGGGGAAATCAAACCCGGTTCTCCCAGATTAGAGTCCGCGCACTGAACCATGACACCAAACCGGCAAAGCACTTCCGTATCCCTGCGGTGTCACTGAGGGCCTCTACTGTCTACCACAAGTGGTTTTCTTCTGTTTTCTAAAATAGATCGGATGAGCGGCCAGATTTGGTTCTGGTGGCATTTCCCTACCAGCCCCCTCCCGCCCCCGCCTGATCGATAACCCCTTTCTCTCAGGTCGCAGGGCACGCTTATTATACTGGAGGAGACTTGTATCTTCTCCAACTCGTTTTCCTCTGGAGGATTAGGTTTGACTCCTGCTGTGTCCGAAAACAACGTGGGGGGGGGGGGAGCCGGCTGCGTTTAGAGAGCCTGGCGAAAAACAGGAAGGACCTGACCTGAGTTTAAAGGCCATATTTATTACAAAACCCAAAAAAACCCTTTAAGACGACCTCAGCGGAAAGGGGTCAAAGAGGGAGCACCGTAGCCTTTAACAAGCCCCGTTCTTACTCATCATCCAGCTGAGACATGCTGGGGAAAAGCCCTCTGGGAAACTGGCGCTGGGTAGGAAGGGGAGGAGGAGGAAAATTAGCTTAACCTCTTCCTCACCTGGCAGACGCCGCCAGCCCCCTGGCAGCGATCATCAGCGCCCACGCGCTGGGTCGGAGGCAGCTCACGGCACTAGCAGGAGATGCGAGGAGGAGTCTCTCTCTCTCACTCACACACACACACACACACACACACGGCTTCCAGAAAAGCACTCAAAAAGCAAGAAAGTGGATAATCGGCCATCAGCCTCACCCGCCTCCCGAGGACCCTGCAGAGATAAAGAACTAAATGGATTTAGAAGCGGGGTCGGCCAGACTGACGGCAGCGGGGTCTATCGCTGGCTATTAGCCCGGAGACCTGGACGGGACCTCCCGATTCGGAGGCAGGACGCCTCCGTGGTGGCCAGGTGCTGGGGAACAGCCAGGAGGGAAAGGTCTCCGGGCCCTGTTGGTGACCTTCTATCAACTCTCAGGCATCTGACTGACCAGCGGTTGGAAACGATGTGCTAGACTCGATGGAACATAAGAACATAGGAGAAGCCAAGGTTGGATCAGGCCAAAGGCCCATCCAGTCCAACACTCTGTGTCACACAGTGGCCAGAAATACCAGGTGCCCTCAGGAGGTCCACCAGTGGGGCCAGGACATTAGAAGCCCTCCCACTGTGCCCCCCCCCAAGCACCAAGAAGACAGAGCATCACTGCCCCAGACATAAGAGCATAAGAGAAGCCAAGGTTGGACCAGGCCAAAGGCCCATCCAGTCCAACACTCTGTCACACAGTGGCCAAAAATACCAGGTGCCCTCAGGAGGTCCACCAGTGGGGCCAGGAGACTAGGAGCCCTCCCACTGTTGCCCCCCCCCCCGACACCAAGTATACAGAGCATCACCTGCCCCAGAGTCCCTATCCATGCCTTGTGGCTAATAGCCACCGATGGACCTCTGCTCCATATGCTTATCTAATTCCCTTTTGAAGCCGTCCATGCTTCTTGCCGCCACCACTTCCTGTGGCAGTGAATTCCAAGTGTTCATCACTCTTTGGGTGAAGAAGTACTTCCTTTTATCTGTTCTAACCCGACCGCTCAGCCATTTCATGGAGTGCCCACAAGGAGTTCTTGTATTGTGAGAAAGGGAGAAAAGTACCTCTTTCTCTCCAACCCTTTTATCATTCGAGTTGCCCTTTTCTGCACTTTTCCCAAAGCTATAATATCCTTTTTAAGGTGTGGTGACCAGAACTGCCGATGGAAAACTGGGCCACCTACATCGGGCCACCTTGCTCGCATGTTGTCACGAAACAGGCCCAGAGCCCTTCAACATGAATGCCAGATCAGTCTGTGCTGACCAGGAGAAATCTCCCAGGGTTATCATAGAATCATAGAAAGAGTTGGAAGGGACCTTGCAGGTCATCTAGTCCAGCCCCCTGCACTCCGCAGGAGCGCAGCCGAAAGATAGCCCTACAACATACGCGAAAGATGGTCGCCCAGCCTCCAATCGAAAACGTCCAACGAAGGAGCCTCCACCACCTCCCGAGGCAGACTGTTCCACTGCTCAACCACTCTTACAGTCAGGAAGTTTCTCCTGATATTTAGCCGGTATCGACTCCCTTGTAATTCCCGCCCATTCGATCTAGTCTTGCCATCCGGAGCAAGAGAGAATAGATCCGCTCCATCTTCTACATGACAGCCCTTCAAATACTTGAAGACTGCAATCATGTCCCCTCTAAGACTTTTCTTTCCCAGGCTAAACATCCCCAACTCTCTCAGCCTTTCCTTGTAAGACTTGGATTCAAACTCTCTCACCATCCTAGTTGCCCTCTTCGGGACACGCTCGAGCTTGTCAGCATCCTTCCTAAAATGTGGTGCCCCAAACTGGACACAGGACTCCAGTTGAGGCCTGCCCATAGCAGAACAGAGCGGAACTACCACCTCCCGTAATGAAGAAGAAGACAGAAGAGAGGAGATTGGATTTATACCCTGCCTTTCATTACTCCGAGGAGTCTCAGAGCGGCTTACAAACACCCTTCCTTTCCCCTCCCCACAACAGGCACCCTGTGAGGCAGGTGGGGCTGAGAGAACAGCTCTGAGAGAACTTGTGACTGATCCAAGGTCACACCAGCAGCTGCATGTGGAGGAGTGGCGAATTGAACCCGGTCCTCCCAGATTAGAGTCTGCGCTCCTAACTACTACACCAAACTGGCTCTGCTGTTTTGTGCACGGTAATGGGAGCTTTTGAGAAAGACATTTTTAATGGATTAGCTGCTGGCCACCTTTGGCTCTGAGGAGGAAAGTTGGGACGCGAAGGTCTCGGAATCAATACATTAATGCAAAATCCTCCTTCCTTCTCTTTTCCCTTTGCTCCAGTGAGAGCCATTAATTTTTTAAAAAATTGTCTCCTGTATGAGTAATGCTTTTCAGAGCTGTGCAGAGATACCCGCCACTTAACGGAGCTTTCACATCCTATTCCGACAGTTTGACGAGCCAGAGAATATTATGGGATCTTACCCAGACCTAAACAAAGAAGCTCCACAGACAGAAGAGCTCAACTGTTCCTAGAGGAGGCCTCGTTGTATAACAGCACCAT